CTTTGGTTCCGTTTTGCTTCTCACTCCCATACATGTGATATTAGAGTTAATACTTCGACTAGGATTGAGTGATTTATGTAATTTGTGGCTCTTAAACTTGGTTCCTTCAATCCTTCTGTCATTATTGAGCAAGTGACTCTCACAATATCTCGACATTGTTGAGTGTGACTTTTTGTGTATAGCATTTGATGATGTGGAAAACCTTTCATTTGAAAGAAGGTGAAGGGTGGCCGATTTTGAGCTGCCTTACTGAGAGGGAAGACTATTGTTTTCAAAGTGTAGTGTGATGCACACATTTTTTTTTTACTTCAAGTACAACCTTTATTTGCTGGTGCACTCATAACTTATATAAACATAATGATACATTTAGTAACATTAATAAAACATGGATTTTTTGATTGATGATTTAGAAGTTAAGACTCGATAAAGAATTAAAACAAAATACGCTGTACTTATGCATATGTATTATTAAATACTAACTTTAAAAGTGAACCAATAAATTAAAATTTCTAACAAATTTTATTATGTATAGGAATTAACAAGGTTACAAGTTATATAAATTTTGATTAACAATCCCAAAATAAATAAATAAATCATAGAAAGAAAATGAATTTAATTTAAAAAGAAATAAAACATGATATAGAGAGTTACAAATTACATAGTTAATTGCACTATTAGAAAAAAATGTGAGAAATTATTTGTAAAAAATAGAGAATATTAAACAAGTTTTATCGCTATTAAATCACAATTTTTTTTTCTAAAGCCATTTAAAAATCTCAAATGGCATTTAATGGATTAAATTTTCTTCATAAATAAAAATTTATTCTATGAAATTAAATATTATTAAAATATCTTTGAAAAATCATACTCCTTATTGGATCAAGAATGTTTGGTCCATGAAAATCGAAGTGTTGTGCTGCATGAAAGTCAGTTTAAGGAACGTTGATCCGTTGTGATGTGAAAGCCAAAGGTTAGAAGGGACTCAAATAGCCACACACATTAGGAAAGAAAGCCCTGTTGGTAATGTTCATCGAGGGTAGGACCAAGAGAATTGCTGTCGCTTGCTGCGGTTTGGTTTACAGTGAAGTTCAAAACTTCGAATGTGATCGAGGGTCAGCTAACTAAGGAAGTTGAGTGATGTTATATTACCCAATGAACTAGTTATCACCAACCGAAGTTGAATCAGAGGGCGGCCGAAGGAATTTTAGGTAAGTTAGGGTAAGTTTTAATTCCAGATATGATTAATTTAAATAAAATCGCGGCCTGCGTTTAGTGTAAAAAATCAAATGCAGTTTCGGATAAGCCGGTGAAACGCGCGAACCAAACAGTACGGCGGCGTTTTGAAAACGTCGCCCGCACTTATAAGCTGCCCCAAACGGACCGCATCGCATGAGCACTAAATGCCCGCGGTTTAGCATAGGAAACAGCAATCGTCCTACACATGGAGTGCGCGGAGCTGACATGCCTTGCTTTGCATCTCATCGCCCTGCAGCGATCATTTATGTGCACTTTTAACAAGCTTGTTAAAGGCACTTAAGGGCTTTGAATATAATCTTAAATTAGATTGTTACAAATATGTTGGTTTAGAAATATGAACAGGTTAGCTCCCACTCATATGCTTTAGCCTTTTGGTTAGTTTGGTGAAGTGTATGCAACCAACCTTAGTAGTCCCTCTTTGGTTCACTCTCCCTAATAGTGAAGGTGACCGAGAGCCTTGCTTTGCTAAAGCATGTTGAATATAAGGATGGTGGTTGTTGACCCAACTTTTTGCTAATTACGTGCATTATGATGGATGTACATTTTGGTCAACCCAATATCATAAATCTAATGGCGTGCCTTGTATATGTTAAAACAAGCAATACTTGAGCTATCCAATAGAAGCTGCATTGTTTGTATACAAACTTGTATGGAACATTCCACAACAATTAATTTAGATCTAGTATATTTTTTTCTTATGGAACATTCAATCCTTAATTTGTTACTAAGTTCTTAGCTTTTGTACATATATTTATAATCAATTGAATGCTTCTTTTTGGTTATAAACATTAAACTACTTCATATGTACAATATATGAAATACAACAAATATACAAATAAAATGCCTTGGCCTAACACTTAACAGAACCACATAGCGAATAATTCTTGGTGTTCATTAAAAAAGCTTTAGAGTAAGGCATATCTCGACATGAACAGGAAAGAAATCTAAAAGTGTTCTAGGTTCATGTCAGTTTGGTTTGTATCAGTCGAGAGAGCGAGAGTAGGAGGAAAAAATATTATATCAGGAATCTGCATGCATAACTGTTTGTGGAGTTCAATCTCAAGCTGACACATGGAAGATCGGAGCCACCTACATAAAAAATGAAAAAAAAGAATGAAAACGTGCGCGCGGCTAAGCCGTGTTATAGGAATATTCCTTTGCGTTATTTTGAATATTTTTCGCGTTATTTATGTTTTATTGATTTGTTATTGAAGTGATTTTGAGATGTTATTGTTCTTTAAACAATAATATTAACTCAAAATCACCTCCATAACACACGAATAACACATCAGTAGAAGTTTCATCTTGTCATTGGATTGTATCATCTCAATAACGCATTAATAACACATGAATAACACACCAATAATACATTAAAAACAGTAACTACGGTGATTTTGAGATATTATTATTGAAACAAAAATATCAACTCAAAATCACCTCCATAATACATGAATATCAATTAATATAATAGAAATTTTCATCTTGTCATTTTTATTGTATCACCACAATAACCAATAACACATTAAAAACAGTAACTGAGGTGATTTTAGATGTTTACTAACTCAAAATCACTTTCATAACACGTTAATAACACATCAGTAAAAATTTTTATCTTGTGATTTGACTTAATCAATTCAATAACACACTAGGTAAAATTCCTATGCGACGCATTAGTATGGCCGGGTTGTGCGATTTCCCTCTTTTATTTCATTTTTTATGTAGGTAAGTGTTGAGAAAATTAGGGCGAAGAAAAATAGTAATCGACACAAATCCAGAAGAACACAGAGATTTAACGAGGTTCGGCAAAGATGCCTACGTCCTCGGGAGCAGAGCGACGAGTTCCTTTCAATAATCAGAAAAGGGTTTACAGAATTCAGGGATTCAGCTCTCTCAAAGGCCTAGGATTACAAACAGTTCTATTTATAATCCTAGAGTAAACCCTACAGTACAATGTGTAATTCCCAAATTACCCCTGTACCGTATAGCGGGGCGTTGACCCAACACCCCCAACCCACATAACGTAACTTCCCGATTTGGACAGATTATTCCGCTTCGCTCCGCTCTGCTCCGCTTCGTTCCAGCGTCTGTCCCTATATGGTATATGAGTCATACCATAACAAATCTCCAGCTTGGCGAATATCCAGCCCACCAAGGTGGGTTGGGCCAGCATGCATCTGCTGCGCCCACGTTGATGTCAACCCACTAAATTCCAAGAGACTTCTCTTCATTCCAAGAGACTCCAAATTCTGGTATTATGAGTCATACCTAACAATTCTCCACCTTGGCGAATATCCAGCCCTTTAGGAGAAAATCTTCACCTTTTTATATCCAGCCCTTTAGGAGAAAATCTTCACCTTGCGAATATTCAATTCCTTAGGAGAAAAATATCCACCTTGCGAATATCCCGCCCTTTAGGAGAAAATCTCCACCTTGCGAATATCCTGCCCCTTAGGAGAAAATTTTCCACCTTGCGAACATCCTGCCCCAGATGGAGAAAATCTCCACCTTGCGAATATCCAGCCCCTTAGGAGAAAAATATCATGGAGTTTCTTATGCACAAATGTGAGTTGAAGCACTTTTCTTGTTTGCGCCAGTACCTCGGCTAAACTGCTGTCTCGTGAGCGAAACCCTTCG